GTGTAGGTACTAGCGTAGTCAAACAAGCGAAGCAGCGTGAATGCTTCTCAGCCTGTTGGCTAAAATCAAGTATGCCGGGGCAGGGGCATCTGACCGCCTCAGCCTCCGGGCCTGGGATTTGCACGTAGGATTCCCACCTGGATATGGGGAGTATCTGAACTGGGAGGTAGGACACTGGCCCACTTGAAGTTGGATGACCCATGGATTTTTAGACAGTTATTTGATTTGGCTGTTGGGAATATATTGAAAAGAAAAGTGGAAGAGGAAGCCCGTTGCTTGCCGGCCCCCATTGCACGGCACGGGGCGCTGGACAAATGTCTGCCCGCACACCCCAACGCCGTGAGCTCCTGGCTGCCTCTTGGGGGGCACGGGGCTGTATCAACCGTCCCGCCGTCCTGCGGGGATGTTTTATTTTTGCCGTTCAGTCCGCGCCCGAGATCTCGCGGTGGCCAGAGGAGACACTACCAGGGCACGACGAAGGCATTAGGAGCTGGTGGGCCGCCAACTCGGACTGAAGCTATTCCGGTTTCCTTTCCCCAACGTGACACGACGTCCTGAATCGTGCCGTTCGCCCAGATTGCTTTCGGGAGTCGCCAGGAGATCGACGCTGACTCCGGGACCATGCGGGAGGGTTGGCGACCCCGCGACCCGCTCCGACGGCGCCGCGGCCTCAACCCAGCAGCCTGTTTGGAGGGAAAGTGCCTTGCCCTCCAAGCAGGGAAGAAGGAAATGGAGACAAATCCTAATTTCCGGCCCACTTCCCCCCCAGAAGGGATTTTGGAATGCAAAATCCAATTTTCAAGCCCCTGCTCAAACGACTCTTATCGCCATCCATGAGGTTGGAGTAGGAAAACCCCACCCAAGCAGGGCTGAAACCCCTGGGGGCTATGAGCTGCCTGCAGGCGGCAGGTCGGGACTCGAACTCGCAACTCCAGGGAAGAACGGGACGGGTTCCCCTTGCCCAGCTGCTCTCCCCCCTCACGTGACCAAGGAGTCCTTTCCGCCCCCCCACCCACCAGAGCGCGCAACGGAAGTGACGCAAGCGTACCCTAGTCGCATGATGTGGCAGAAAAAAAAAAAGGTCGGGGAGAGGGAAGAGTGATGAGTCCCGAAATAGTCCCTTCCGGGGGGCGGGATCCCTCCGCCGCTCCATTGCGCCCTATGGGGTCGGCTCACCACGGAGGCCGGATCCCTCCGCGCGGCCGGCGCAGTGAAGAGCGGGGCCAGCCGGGAGTCGGCAGCTGCTTCGCCTTTCCTTCACGTCTGTATCCTTCCGCCGGCGGGGGCCGCTTCCGGCTCGCTGCGCTCCGCCATTGCGGCTCTGCCTGCCCGGGCCCCGCTGATTCGGCTCCGGCCCGGCCGCCGCCATGGCCCAGATCCTGCCCATCCGCTTCCAGGAGCACCTGCAGGTGGGCGCCGAGGGGCTGCGGCTCCCCTCAGGCCGGGCTGGGGGCGGGGGTCCCTCTCTCCCCGTGTGGTCAGAGGCAGGCCCCGCGCCCGGCTGGAGGAGCCCCCTGGTTCATCCTTGAAATAATTCCCTTCCCTGAGGCCTTTTTCTGTTACGGACTGAGCCGTTTTGGCACCTGGTGGGTGGGGGTGGCGGTGGCAGCGCGGACACTGATGTGGCGCTCCGCGAGGCGCGGGTTTCCAGGAGCAGGTGTGTGCTTGGCAGCATCCTTCGGGTTTTGTCGGTGAAACCTGAGTGGAGCAGTCAAACTGCTGGACTAAATTTGTATTCACTTCCTTTTTTTTAATCTGTTTTACGGGCATGTGAGGAAGGAGTTGGCGGGGCAACACTTCCTGCATGCGGGCAGCTCGTGTAAATGACAGCGCTGTCGGGCGGCTTTTGTTACAACGGAGGGAAATGACAGAGGTGCCAATAGCATGCTCGCTGTCACCCGTCGAGCCGGCGTCCTGGCACGCGTGCCGGGCACTTGGCATGGCGCGACTCTTCCTAGAGCCAAACTTGCCCCTGGGTTCATCTTGCGTTAAGGGGAATGCTGCTGTTTGGTCTGAAGCAGGACTATGGAGACCGGTGCCCACTTCCCGAAGTGGCAGGTGAGCTAGTCTGTGGCTGCAGCTCCTCTGTAAGAGGCTTTGTAGGAAGGCAGCTGAAACCATCAGAGGTGTCCCGAAGGCTTTTGGTCTCCTTCCAGATTAAAAGGCTACTTTTTCCTAAGTTTTTTAAATAGCATTACCGGTTTAACCGCTTTCTGTCCAAGCGCTGTCACTCTCAAAGTAAAGAGGATCAGTGTGGGGACAGACCGAGTTTGTTACTTGCCTTACCGTAACGCTAGCGTTAAGCTTCGTTGGGTTTTTAGCTTGTTTTAGCCCGTGATGTGCTTTTGAAGCAAAAGCATAACTGGGGGTGTTGAGAATCCAGGCCAGTCTAATACAGTACTCTTGTATTTTTAAGGGCATTGCGTTTTAAACTAAAAGCACGGCTATTGGTTGTGGTGACGTGATTTTATTTTAACTTTCTTTCTACATGGAGATTAAAAAAAAAAAAAAAGTCATGAATGAGCAGGAGTGAAATGGATCCTCTTGCATGCTGGGTAGATCAGCTTGTATATCTGTCTCCTAGATCTTCTCATACAATACATTATTTAAGGTGCAAACTCCCATCTCCTCTCCCGTGACAATAAAACCTGCTTGCTCAGTTTCATGCCAGAAGCTGAGCAGTGCAGGCTGCAGGTGGATCTTCACCCCCAAATATGTCCTTTTAGGTATTGCAGGTAGTTGGCACACCTACAAGTAAAGGTAGTCTCTTTTTTTTTTTTTTTTTTTTTTTTGAGGGGGGCTTGTTTTTATGGTGTCTTTTCTTGGGGAGGGTGGAGGGGTTGTGTGCAGTTGGGAAGCTTCCCACCTCCCTAGCCTATCTGCATTTGTATGTAGCAATACAGCACTTTAACAGGTTTCTGAATGATAGCTTTAACTTCCTCATTCTTTACCTCAGAAATCATCAGTGCTGTAAACTGCTTAAACACTTCCTAAAACTTGCATCAACTAAGTTCTTCCGTGGTTTGGCTTCCTGTTTGCTACTTCAAATGACACTCTCTTCAAGAGGAGCAGAAGCATGAATTGGGGATGCTCCTGACACGTGCTGAACTTGTTTGCAAAAGGTGTTGAACCCTAAAGGCCAGCTAAAGCTCCTGAGTTCTAGTTGCTGAGCAGGTGTAGCTCATGAGTCTTAAATTGCTTTGAGACTGTGTCTTTTCTTCCTTAAGACAAGACTTCCCTTTAAAACAAGGGGGGAAAAAAGATCCAAAGCCTTTCTGGCTCAGTTATCATTGGAAAGTGTGTACCTGGCACCCAGCTATTGCTAGTAGGGTTGGAGTAATAGTGTAGCAAATACTTTTCAAAATGCATAATATACTTGCTCTTGCAGGGAGTGATATTGTGTATCTGCCTGGAATCATTAGCCAAGCTGGCAATGGCGAAGCGTATCAAACAGGATGATACCAGTTTCTTGGGTACAACCTCATCGGCATCACAGGACTTGGAGGATATTGTGCTTTATTATTGTAGCTTTCAAGCCCTGCTCACTGAAATGGCTGGCCCTGCACCTGCCACCATGTTTGACTAACTGCTTTGAGAATCCTCTGGTGATGGGATCAAGTCATCTGCTCTTACTGGAGTAAATAACTTGTTCATCAAGTTGCTTCCAGCAGTTGGTATACCACCCATAAGTGTTATGATGTTGATGCTTAATGTCTCATGCATGCATCATGGTTCAAAATGATACTTTTCATAATGGATGTAAACATTACTTGCTCTTTTCCAATCACTGGAACTATTAAGCTAATTTTGTAGCTCTCCCTAATGACCAAGATCAAGTTTCAGTGCGTGTTCTGACACAGACAATCAGAATATCAGGAGTGTGGAGCAGCTGCCATACCAGGGGAGCCTAAAAAAGCTGGGCCTTCTCGTTTTCCAAAAAGAGGAGGCTGGGGGTGGGAGGGTGGAATATAGCAGAGGTCTATAAAATCACGAAGGGTATGGACAGAGTGAATAGGGAGCTGTTATTCCCCAAGTCCCAGACCAGTAGAACTAAGGGCATCCACTGGAATTGGTACAAGGCGGTGTTTAAAATGAAAGTATTTTTTTTTTTCTATATGTTGCATGGTTAACTTGCGTACCACAGGAGGTTGTAAAAGCAGATGGTATCCTGCTTACCTTCCCCCCCCAACAACTTCTTTCTGTCACTGTCAGACATGATACTGGGCTAGTTGTGTCACTGATCTGACTCGGTTTTTGTCACTGTTCTTCATCTCAAGAACAGTTGAACTTGGAACAAGTGTTTTGCACTTCATGCACCTCAGGTGTCTCGGAGCTAGCCAGGAAAGCTCCAAGCACAGGAGTTCTCTTATAAGGCCCCATACTAGTGAATTGGAGAGGAATCTAGTACTTGGTTAGAAATGAAACCAGTTTACAGTACATGCAGGGTATGCCTTCTATTTTATAGATGCATTCAATGTTGCCTTGGAGTGTAAGTTGAAGGCATTTAGGATGTCTACTAAGCAGACTAAAATCTTGTCCTCTTTTAACTGCTCAAATCCTCCTTCACTACAGTCCCAATGAACTAAGTAAAAGCTTATTGTAAAAGTGGTGACTGCAAGCAGTGCAACTATCTGGTACCTAATAACCTGAGGTTCAGCTATTCATTGTTTGGTAAGCAACATGAAAAATAATCCCAGATGTGGTGATTAGTAATGTCTTGGTGGATAAATGGGAAAATTCAATGCTTTTCCTTAGTTGAGGTATACAGTCAGTCTGACTTGCGCAGTGGTAGGTGGGAAAGTTCTTTGAGTAGATGTGATTATCTTTTATTACGTCTAATAAGATATCACATCTACCCGAAGAACCTTGCCTGCCTATGTCTTTAAAAAAGGGGTGGGCAGTTATTTTGGGTGGAGGGCTGCATGACAGGCAGCCCGGGGCAGATCAATATTAATTTTCTAAATTCTTTAAGGGGCCCCATGGCCTGGATAGACTGGCCTGGCAGGCCGCATTTTGCCCACCCCTGCCTTAAACCAACACGGCTACAACCAAAAAACCACAGTGGTAGGCGAGGGCTTAACTCTACTTCCATGCTGCTAACAAGATCTTGGCTTGATGCTGCTATTTATTATGATGGCCATTGTCAGAATAATGACTGCAATGGGTTTCCAGCGTTCATATTGGGAGCTACTCAAATAACTGAGCTGTTCTAATGCACTTCACGTGCACAGCTTTAATTTTTATGCTGTAATGTAGAGTGCTTCAGTTCAGATGATACACTTGCAGAAATATTTGTGGAAACACTTGCACCTGGTAAAAGCAGCATGGTTTTGGTTTTTTGTTTTTTTAGGAAGTCTTTTGAGGAAGAAATAAATGCTGTGGTAATTGGTTTTGACACCCCTGTACTGTCAATGCCTGCAAACTTGCAGTGTCTGAAGACTGCCAAGGGATGAATATTTTTATCCTCTCAGTTTGCCTTTGTCTCTATGCTAAGACCAACTGAGCCACAGTTGTCTGGCTTGCTACTCTAGCTCACTGCTCAAACGTTTTCCTTGCATATGACGGCAAACATTCCCAAAGAGCTAACAGGCCTAAAGTAATGACTTGGCCTCTTTTAAATGATTTTGTAACCTACATAATTATCAACTTGTAGTGAGGGAAACATTCCTTTTTTGGTTAAAGCAAGCCTCTAGTGTTTCTAGCTAATTATGTACCAAGCATACACTAATATGCAAGAATGAGCATCTTGTCTAAGACTAACAAAAGAATCCACATGTACTCACTAAATATTGACCAGAACTGCCAAAATGTACTTTTATTTTGTCTTGGTTCTTATTACTCTGCAGACGAGCAAATAGCCCCAGCAGGTCTGACTTAATGAGTAGAATTGGAAGGCTGAACTTGATTTTTCTTCCCTGTGCCTCAAAATCAGGATCTTTAAAATATATGAAGTAACAGTCCTTGAAGACTTAGACACCCTGGTAAATGACCTGTAACCACACTAACAGTTTAACTGGGAACTTTTTTGATTCCCACAATTCTCAAAGTGGAATTTAGTCCTCTGTGGACATCTCTAAGGCAACAAGTATGCTGGGATTAAGAAGTTTTAAATGCCTTAAAGGATGACTGCCATTTACCTAATATTCTTAAATGCTAGATGCCTGACCCAGAACTACTAGTTGTGAGAGACTTGCATTTAAAAAGACCAAAAAAACCCAAGTCTTAAATCCAGTTTGAGTGCATTTCAGTGGAATAATGTAAAAATGAGGAACTGATCTACCAAACAGTGGTTCAAATAAAGCAACTTGTTGCTGTAAGAAGTGATTATTTAGAAATGGCAATTGCTGAAGAACACATTTCTACAGCATCGCCAACTCGTGATTTTATTTATTTATATATATATATAAAA